CGCTATAACTTTTTTTTTTTTAAGTCATCGCTGGTTTAATGGGAACGTTATTCTTTTTAATGGGTTTCTCAAGATGTACTTGTAAGTTTGGAATGATATTAGGCTTAACAGCATTTTTGCCCATAATTGTTTCTAGTGGAAGTGATAAAAATTTACGATGATAACTAGTAAAGTTTCAACTAGGAGGTGTTTTCCTGTAGTTTTCATCTGGTCTCATCGTTTACAGTTATTACTGTTTAGTTCGGTAGCTCCTTTGTTGTCCATTTTCCTAGTTTGTTTTGCATTCTAGTGCGTTAGCTTTCGTGCAAACTAAGTTCTAATGCTGTCAACTGATGTTTCTTTATTCATGTCTTTCCTGCGTTATAAATGTTTTACAGCTCAATCTTGCTCCTTCCTTATTCCCTCGGTATTTTATTGTTCACCCTATGTTCTTTCATTGTTGGCAAAGCAATGAAAGGTTTGTAGGGTGGAAGAATTTGTCATTTCAAATTGCAAAAATAGGTTTTTTCTGATTCCCTTCCTCGATACATAAACTTAACTAATCCTATCGAATAAGACGACGAGTTTTTCCTTTACTTGATATTTTGCATGAACTCTGAGAGTTTTAGTGCTTGAATAATGTCATCGGCGGACTCGCCTTTGCGTTCCAACACATCTCCGGTGCGCAGTTCCGTGCGAGGATGTAAGCTTCTTAGATGTCTTCCAATAATTATCTTTAAATATACTTTAAATTGTTCCTACTTTAGCTGTCAGTACTAGCCCACAACTGCTTCCCTTTCCAGACATTGACAACTCGCCTTCAAGGCCGTATAGTGGTGAGTTTTTTCTTCACATTGGCAAAAGTTGCTTACTTTATCGTTTTCTTATTTTTATACGTCAAGCTCTTTTTAGCTTCAAGTGGCTTGCAATATGGATCAGAGATTGGTCCTTCGAGTCAGGGGACTACATCAACTACTCGTCACTTTGCCGTCCCACGGCCGGACATAGATGTTACTCCCTCTCATCATCGGACTATTCGAATAGAAAATATGGAAGTAATTTTTTTGGTGAAATTAATATCTGCATATATTCCTTAATTCTTCTAAGAAATAGTGTTTAAGGACGATTTGGACGGAGGCGATAGCGGTGGAGCTAAATTGTACATTTGGGGTACTAGAATTTGTGTTACGGATGTGCAAAAAGCGTTCAAGGCGTTTTTAACTGAGTACCAATCAAAAGCGCTTGAAGACGACGAAAACATTTTGATGCTTGGTTCAAGCACTCATCAAGGTTAGCATATTTAACAGTATAAAAGAAAAACTTATTCAGTTAATTTGACCCAAGCATTAACATGTTTATTTGCTGCAAATTTTTTCAAAGTATTAGACGACTCTTTTGTTTATCTCTAGAGATTGACACCGAACGACCTTACTATATGGAGCGGCTTTTTGAAATTAGTCAAAATGAAAATGTTTATTTGAATCTTAATCTTGGGCATGTGAGGGAGTATAATGAGGCGTTGTACAGAA